GAATGTATGTGTGCGCGTGTGCGTTTGCGTGTGTGTATGTCCCTGAGGATACAAAACTCCAACAGTTCCCTATCTATAGGAGTGGCGGGGAGGGCAATCAAGCTGGGTGACTGACCTAGTCCCTGGCTTTCTTCAAAACTAGGCAGGTGGAGAGGCCGGCAGAGTACCCCAGCAGTGCTCAGCGTTCTGGCTACCTCTCTGACTCGACCCCTGAACCAGGTGTCCACGCTCTTTGGGGTGGGGGTCTTCTCTTCCCTCCCCAAGACTGACCATTCCTGCCCGTGGACGACTGACTTGCCCCCAGCACAGCCACCACATTGGGGTCACCCCTGCTGCCCCACTCCCCACTTTCCAATCTAGGCACTGGGTTTGGGGCTCTAAGGGAAGGCTCTCCTGTACCTTCATCACCCCACCACCACCACCACCTAAGAGGCCAGCTGAGGGTGGGAAGAACACTAACAAACTCCAACTCTCCCCCCACTCTGGCGCAGATTGCTCTTTGTCAGCCAAAAAGTTAAGGGCAGTCAGTTCCTTGCCAGCTCTGCCAACCAACCTGGTATTTTCGGTTTTTAACAACGTTCACACGGAGGCAGGACTGCTTCCATCTCACCACCTGGACAACTTTTTTTTTTTTTTTTTTAACTTTCCTAGATCCAACCGAAATCTAAATGTGTCCATGAGTTTCTGAGCTGAGAGGCCAAAGGGAGTTCATGGAGCTTTGGTTTTAGTCTTCCTCACCCAGTGCTCAACTGGCCCCAGCTTCCAAGCAGAGGAACACGGAAGCTAATGGAGATATCAAACAGAGCCACCATTCCGAAGACGCCCTTTTTCCACCACCAGCACCCACCGTCCATCTGCAAATGTAATCACAGAGCCTTGTGGCGTCTTCATCACCAGGGGCTCCGGGGAAAAAAAAGGGAGAGAAAATTCTGTTCCGTTCAAAGGCACCCTCTATTATCATGTATAATTTGTATATAGCAACATAAGAATTTCTCCCTCCTCTTGGAATCCCCCCACCCTCACCCCGTACAATATTTAAACAGCATTTGTCATCCGATTCGTACAAACGCTTGAGGCCTTTCTGGAAACCTATTTCCATTCAAAGGCTAGAAAATTGCTCTCCTTCCTTTAAAAAGGGGGTGGGGGGTGAGCAGGCGCAGCAGCGGCAGCTAGGACGGACAACAACAACAAAAAAACTTTCTCCTGCATAATCCTGGCTCACAGAATGACAAAGAAAAGATATTGACTTACCCCGGAACGGATGATGTGTTTGATAAGGGGGGGACTTTTTTGAAGATTTCTGTTCGGGAGCTGCACAGACAGCTGCAATTCATGGGCGATGCTGATTGCCAGAAACGCTATAGATTGGCATGGGGTCTGCGGCTCACAGATCCTGATCAATACCCCTACACTCACACGCCAGATGGTTTGGGGAAGGACAAAAATAAAATAGTCCAAATCAGCCCACCATTATGTCTTTTTGTAGTGCTCCGATCAACCTAGCTATAGCACAAATGTGTTCTGCTCGACACAAAACCTTCACCAGCATTCTGAACATTTGGGTGGAAATCAGCAGCCCTCTTCTTCCCGAGGTTTGGGTTGTGGTTACTGTTGTTTGGTGAAAACAAAGCTGTTGGGCCCCTCATCCAGACTGGGTTTACTTGTGGGCTGTTTATTTTTGTGTGTGTGAATAATTTATAGGGTCTCTGTTTTAATTGAACTTCCACTGCTTTCTCCCTATCAGAGCCTAAAAATAATTTAATGTGAAAACACATATGAAAAGTATAAAAATTTCCAGTCTTCTGCAATGGCTAGCTCAAGTTGAGATTTTTGCCTTTTACAATACAAGAGGTTTTACATGTGTTTTCAAAGCTGCATTTTATGTAAAGGCTTCTTTGACCCATTTAAGTGTTTAATCTGAAAGAATATCAGACCTGTGGATGTGGCACACGGAGAAATGGAGATCCTGCCCCTGATAAAATGGCTAGTGCAACTGTTTGTCCAGATTCTACTAGTCATGAACTAGCTCTCCTGCTACCACAGTTCTGTATAGTCTATTTGCCAATCAAATGCCAAGAGAAAGGGGGAACAAGCATGTAATTTCAAATTAAAAGAAAAAATCCTGAGTCGAAGAACTTGTGAAGCCTAGTGTATATGTCCTAAACAAGGGGCAGTTAGAAAGCATTTTTATTTTCTTAAAGAACAATAGAAAAAGAAACATAAAAATATGTTAAAACGTATTTGAAAACCTTATTAGTACTGATGCTCTTAAAAGTATCTTCAAGTAGAAAATAAATATTCTTCCTTTTTTTTTTTAAAGAAAGGGAAAAGGGCATGCAAACCTGAATCAGTAGAAAATTAGGAGGCCGACTAAAATACATCCATTAATTTTCCTTTTAAGTAGGTTTTGGTTTGAAATATAAAACCTCAAACCACCATTAGAAAAAACAACGTGAAAAATCTGCTTTAATCTACTCCGATGAAATTATACACAAAGAAGCCAATACTATTTCATGATTTCCCTGAGATCGCCAATATTGATCGAGCGAAGGGGGAGCTATGGTGGGAGAGAGGGAGGAGAAGGGAGGGGGGAGGGAGGGAGCCAGGCAGCGAGAATATGCAACTCACCTTTCAACTCCCCACTACTCCACTGCTCCCAGGCACACCGAAATGCAATTCCTAGGATATTTATCTTGATGGCCTGGTAGATGAGTTTATCCTTTTGAAAAATTATTTAAATGGCAACTTATATATTTAGTTTTCTGTATAGAGGCACTGCCTATCAATGTCCGAGCCTGAGGTCACTGGCCAGTCTTTGAAGCTGAAGCCCAGAAAGAGAAAGCTGCTTCAGCACCAGGGCAGACCAGACAGACTCCTTCCCCTCGCTTGCATTCTTATTACCTTTTGTTCAATTCCATGTCTATTTCAAATAATAACTGTTTCAAATTATCCCAAGTGTCCAGCTGCCATATATAAGGTGGGGTGTGGGGAGAGAGACCATAGGAGAAGGTGAGAGGGAGAGAAAAGGCAGAGAAAGAGAAAACTGAATTATTTCACCTGTCTGGTTTTTGTGACGTTACAGTAGCGAGCATCCAGAAAAGTGTGCCTACAATCCACTTTCTTACCCAGGCTTTGATATTACAGAGAGAAGCAGCTATTTGAAATAATAACTGGTAAGGCATTGTCCGGAGCTCAATGGTAGACCTGTAACATCACTGTACATTTCATGTGACAGAATTGGGTGGGATGGGGTGGACTCAGGAGGCTCTGTAGCCAGAAGAGAGGAGGGCAGCCCTGAAAGGTGTGTGTGTGGGGGGGGGGGACTAAGAACTATTTTTCAACCCTTTCTCAAGCCCCTGGAAGGTGCATACAGTATGCCAGACTGTGCCCTTGTTTCCCTAGCAAGTTTTCTCTAACAGCTGGAAGTGGTTGGAGGGGGCTGTCTTAAGGAGACCCCCTGCTCTTCTTTCTGACAACTGATCAAAAGAAAATAGGTCACGCTTCTCAAACTTATGTCCACCCTGTCCTTAATTACTGTCTCTTTAAACAAAGGCAACATCTGCGCAACCTCAGCTAGCTTGAATCTTCTGGAGGCAAACAGAGGGCGCAACCTGCTTTGGAAGAATCTGCTACTTTTAATGCTTTCCGTGTCCGGTGGCTCTGTTGGCTATCACCTCCCTCCCTGCTCCCACCCGGGTCGCAGAAATCTCCACCTTCTCTCGACCCCACTCCGGGGTTACCGAATAACGGAAATTCTAGGTAAAAGAAGGTGTACTTTTTAAAGCTGAGGATTGAGAGCGTTCTAGAACTTGCCGGGGTTCTGGGTCTTTTCAGAGACAGGATTTGGGATATGCTAATGTCTGCAAGGCTTCATGGCATCTACCACAGCCCTAATCCGGGGTGTTCCTCTCCCGGGATTGGAGAGAAGTGTGTGTGTGTGTGTGTGTGTGCGCGCGCGCGAGCGTGCGTGTGTGTTTGGGAAAAGATCCACGGGTGTCATCCAAGACTGTTTACATACTGCCTGCCCCCAAGAGAAGTTTGCTTGCTTTAGGCAACAATCTTGCCGTAACACCCACCCCACCCCCACATCATCGACAATTTTTTTTTAATTAACAAATCTCTAATGAGGCAAGCATTTGGTCACATTGAAACCGAAGCTCTTGGAGTTCTAGCTTTGTTTTGCAATCTAGCAGGGCCCTTCTGAAGCCTCATAACAGGGAGATTTATGGGCTCTCCCGATAATTAAATGATATTATTGTGTTAACTTTGCATGCCCTACCACGGGCCGAGCCGCCTGTGGGCTTGGTGCATCCGCCTGCCTCGGCTCACAGGCGGCGAGGGCGCTGGAGTTCCTCTCGGGCGGTGGATTAAGCACGACCCAGTCTCGGGAATTTGCCCCGCATTAGAGAACATTAGAAAAAACATTTGCGCCCGCATTTTAAAATAAAAATAAATAAATAAATAAAAAACGACTGGGTCCCTGCGAGGGACGCTTGGGAAGTGGCTTGCTGAGACCTGTGTTTGTTTTTACACCAGCAAGTAGCGGAGTCCTTTCCTCCCAGCTTTCTAGGCTGGAGAAAAGCTCGGGGGTGAAGCGAAGGGAACCTAAGCAAGGCCCTTTCCCCCCCAGATCGCAGCTGCTGAGCGGGGAGAGGGCAGAGACACAACAAGGCATCTTTAACATAATTTCTGTTCCCGGCTCACACTCTTGCCTCTCTCTTCCTCTTCTACCCCTTCTTTCCCTCCCTCCCTCTCTTTGACGTTTGATGCCAGTGTCAGAGGAGAGAAAAAAAAGACAGAGCCGTCAGCCAAACCTGAAACGCGCAGCCCCGCCTCCTCCTCAGCCATTGGTGGATGTACGCAGGAGGCCCGCCCCCCAGGCCAGCCGCGGTTTCGGAGTGGCTGCTTGCGGCGCTCATCGGCTGCCGCCCTGCCCCGGGTCCGGGAGGGTAGGTTGGCTGCCCCGGCCAGAGGCAGAGCCCTTCTGGACAGCTCCCGCTCACCCAAACAGAAGCCGTCCGCACCGGAGCGGGCTGGGACGACATGGCTAGGCTGCGCGCCGGCCCGAGCGGCGGGGCTCGGTGATCCCTCCCTCCCTCCCGCCCCCTCTCCTCTCCTCTCCCGCACGCACGCCCCGCCGCCCCCACCCCGCCCCCACCCACCCCGGGCGCGCCCGCCCGCAGCCCGGGGCGCACACCGCACGCACGCTCGCTCCCCCTGCACACACTCACGCAGCCCGGTGCCCTCCCCTGCTCCCCGCGGCGGAGCTCCGCCACGCGCGCCCCGCCAGCCCGCCGGCCGCCCCCGCCGCCCCCGTGCCCCGATGGACTGAATGAAGGCTGCCTACACCGCCTATCGATGCCTCACCAAAGAACTAGAAGGCTGCGCCATGAACCCGGAGCTGACAATGGAAAGTCTGGGCACTTTGCACGGCGGGCCGGCCGGCGGCGGCAGCGGCGGGGGCGGCGGCGGGGGCGGCGGGGGCGGCGGCGGGGGCCCGGGCCATGAGCAGGAGCTGCTGGCCAGCCCCAGTCCCCACCACGCGGGCCGCGGCGCCGCCGCCGGCTCCCTGCGGGGCCCGCCGCCAGCGGCTCACCAGGAGCTGGGCACGGCGGCGGCGGCGGCGGCGGCGGCGGCGGCGTCGCGCTCGGCCATGGTCACTAGCATGGCCTCGATCCTGGACGGCGGCGGCGACTATCGGCCCGAGCTCTCGATCCCGCTCCACCACGCCATGAGCATGTCCTGCGACTCGTCCCCGCCCGGCATGGGCATGAGCAACACCTACACCACGCTGACGCCGCTCCAGCCGCTGCCGCCCATCTCCACCGTGTCGGACAAGTTCCACCACCCGCACCCGCACCACCACCACCCGCACCACCATCACCACCACCACCACCACCACCAGCGCCTGTCGGGCAACGTCAGCGGCAGCTTCACCCTCATGCGCGACGAGCGCGGGCTCCCGGCCATGAACAACCTCTACGGCCCCTACAAGGAGATGCCGGGCATGAGCCAGAGCCTGTCCCCGCTGGGCGCCACGCCGCTGGGCAACGGGCTGGGGGGCCTGCACAACGCGCAGCAGAGCCTGCCCAACTACGGGCCGCCGGGCCACGACAAAATGCTCAGCCCCAACTTTGATGCGCACCACACTGCCATGCTGACCCGCGGGGAGCAGCACCTGTCCCGGGGCTTGGGCACCCCGCCCGCGGCCATGATGTCGCATCTCAACGGCCTGCACCACCCGGGGCACGCTCAGTCCCACGGGCCGGTGCTGGCGCCCAGCCGCGAACGCCCACCCTCGTCCTCGTCGGGCTCGCAGGTGGCCACCTCCGGCCAGCTGGAGGAGATCAACACCAAAGAGGTGGCCCAGCGCATCACCGCCGAGCTGAAGCGCTACAGCATTCCGCAGGCCATCTTCGCGCAGAGGGTGCTATGCCGGTCTCAGGGGACCCTCTCCGACCTGCTCCGGAATCCCAAGCCGTGGAGTAAACTCAAGTCTGGCAGGGAGACCTTCCGCAGGATGTGGAAGTGGCTGCAGGAGCCGGAGTTCCAGCGCATGTCCGCCTTGCGCCTGGCAGGTAAGCCCCGAGAGGCACCTGGAGCCACGCTGCCACCGGCGAGAGGACTCCTCCGGGGTGCTTGTGGCCCCGGGTCAGCATGCCTAGCACTTCTCTGGGTTCTATCTTCTGCACACTTCCTGCTCTTGACTTTATTTCTTGTTCCACTTCCTCTTTCTCTATTCCTCCTCTCCTTTCTGCTCTCCCTTCTTCTGTTTTTCTTCTTTTCTTTCCTTCTCGGCTACAGCTTTGATCTACCGACCCCCCCCCTACACACACACACACACACACACACACACACACACACACGTTTCATTTGCCTCCCTCAATGTGTCAATGTTGCCCTCTCTTTCCGAGGTGAGATGGACTGCTTGGTATTCACTAGGAGCCCTCTTTTTCCAGAATTCAGAGACCAGGTATTACCCTTGTTCAAAAACCCTGTGCATTGAACACTTGCTTAAACAATACATTCCAGTTTTCCAGGCTGCCTGGTCTCTCTGTGTGGAATCGGTTGAGGGGCTTCGCTCTTCAGAAGAGAAAAAGATCTCTCTGTTCTCCTACCTACTACGTAAGGCAAACTTCTTTGGTTATTGGCAGGAGTTACAGCCTTGCCCGCTCCGGGAACTGGTGGCTAGACTGTAACAGCGCTTCCTGAGCCCTTCTTCGGCCTTGCCGTTGGCGCAGGGACTTTCTGACCCAAAGAGCCGACTTGGGCTAGCTTCCGTGTCACTGTCCACAGCGAGGAGAGGGTGCGAGGATGAGGGTGTGCACTGCCACATTAACCTCCGGGAGAATGGGGGGGAGGGGGGCAGGGAGGAAGAGAAACTAAGAATGGAGAGCGCCGCGCCTCACTTGCCAACAACCCTTGCCGGGCTCCTAGCGTTTGCTGGGATTTGCGGAGGCTTGGCTGGGCTCGGGGAGAGAGGTTAGGCGCTCTCAGGGAAGAGGTGCTGCGAAATTAAGATGCAGGTTAGTTAATGCATCTTGGCCGCGGGCTACAGGCTCCGCCTTTGCATTAAGCGGACGCTGATTGTGCGCGTCGCGCCGTGGCGGGGAGGGCCGGCGACTGGCGGGAGGGGACGAGCGGATGCGCTGGTTACATTGTTCTGGAGCTGCCTTGGCTCTTTGTGCCTCCTCTAGTGGCGGAGCCGCGAGGTACAGCCCTCTATTGTTCTAGGAGCACAGACACCTCCTGCGTGGGCGGCGGGAGCTGGAGAGGAAAACGCAGCAGTGGCTGCGCCTTTCTCGCTGTTGCGCGCTTTTGTGCGCACAGAGCCAGCGAGGTGCGCGTGGCAATCGCGCTGTTCTTAGGAACCAGCCGCGGGGGGCCCATAGGGTGTAAGGTTCCAGGCACCCCATTGGGGAAGACACACTGTACACTATTGCAAACGGGGTTGGGCAGCTTCTCTTGGACCGGAGCGGTCTCTCGGGCCCGCGGGCCATCAGGGGAATAAGTAGTAGTGGCGTTGATTTCTACAGGCGGGGACAGCGGGACTCACGCGGTTCTGTGGGTTCTGAGCCAGCCGCACACAACGCGCTTCCGGAGGGAGGGGAAAGCACGGCTTCCTCTCTGGCGTCCCGGGCTTCCCTCGCACCGCCCAACCTGGCTTATGGGGGGGCACTCTACCGATACCGATACCGGACCGGGCTGGGGGACGTGACAGACAGCATTTCACCCAGTTTTGGGGAGGGGGTGTTTCCCATCTGATCACCTCAGCCTTTGCCTCCAACGGCCCCCGCAATGTTGATCTGGGAAGATAAAAAGAAAACTAGCTTTGCCCCAAAGAGCTTCTTCAAATCCGCGAACACCAAGCACTTCTGCTTGGATTTAGAAGTCTGCTTTATCTCTCTCTAGCTTAGTCTTCCTCCTCTCCTACATTTTTCTCTGATTTGCTCTTGGTTCCTAGCAAAGATTAAGCAGTGAATAGAGAACAGCGGTGAGATATAAATTGGAGACTTACTGACAATTCCCAGTAAGTTCAATAAACAGTGTTGTTCCCTTTTGTTTTAACACTCCCCCCACCCCCACCCCCAAGTCTCTCTCCTGAGAGCTCTAGCGTGTGCTAGCTTCTTGGACAGAGGCGGCCAGAAGGAACTTGGCAGCTGGTCTTTGGGGGGTACAGGCTGGATGACAGCTATTCCATCCCAGCCCATCTCAGAGTACTGTCGCCCCCTCACGCCTATGGAGCAAAGGACAGAGCTAGAAGAAAAGTGGAAGAAGAAGAAGAAGAAGAAGAAGAAGAAGAAGAAGAAGAAGAAGAAGAAGAAGAAGAAGAAGAAGGGGAGGAGGAGGAGGAGGAGGAGGAGGAGGAGGAGGAGGAGGAAGAAGAAGAAGAAAAGAAAGTGGGGGGAAAGCAAAGCACTGCCTTCCTGCCTATGTATCTAAAAGTGGTGTGGCAAGTCATGTTTTACTGTTAGCACTCTGAAATGACCCCAAGCTTGCTGGTTGAAGGATAAGTATGGCAATTCTGCAGGGACCCCACCACGGAGAGTCCCAGGATGACTCCTCTGGGGCTTTTAGGAGGAGCCCCAAAACTGCCACTGAAACTGCCTCCTTCAGAGAGTGGGAAATTCCTGCTGAATGCTTCGCTCAAGCATTCAAATTTGCTCTGTTTTATTACCCCAAGTTGAAAAGGGACAAGAGCCTTAGCCTTTTTATCTGGTCATTTTATCAGCAACTACGAGCATGTTGAGTGGTCATTATTACATAGAAGGCTTTTCAGTTTGGGGTCGGTAGATCAGTCTCTTCAGACACTGACACAGAAGCTGGGCTGGTAAGTAGGTATTATGTACTTGGGAGCATGAGGGGACTGGAGCAAATGGAGAAGAAAAGCTGAGGCCTTTACCGCCAGGAATATCGATCGATTGGAATCCCCACTGGGCTGGGCCTTTGCTGAGGGCCCACACTGTTGGGCTCCGGTTCCAGGGGTTAAACAATCCTAGTAGCTCCAAAGGGCTGCTGGGCCTTGTCTCCCAGCCCAGTGCTTAGAAGTGGTGCCACACACCACCACCCCCCTACCTCCCCCACTCCCCCCACCCCCCACCACTCCTGCTCCAGACCAGGTTGGCACTATCTATTTATCTACCTACCTACCTACCTACCTACCTATCTCCTTTTAGTTTCTCTTTCTCTTTCTCATTTTGGGCCCCTCTGAGTCTTGCCAGAGGCCCAAGCAGACAGGGGTTTTAGGGAGTTCAGAATTAAGATGTCTGATATGGACCATTGACTGCAAACCTCACCCTTGGGTGAAGCACACTGTCACAACAAAAGCAGGTCCTTCCTCTCCCCCTGCCCACCTCCTCGGTGTACACAGCTCAAGGTAGCATTTCAAGAGGGAAGGGAGAAGATGTCAGGAAACTCAGATTGCCCAGCACCAGGCTTCAGAGAAATGGCCTCCAAGTGTGAGATTTCATTTGGAAAGGGTGGCAGAGGCAGAACTGCCCCCAGCTGGGCCTCTTAGGGGTTTCCCACTGCTGGCTCCCGCAGGGCAGTTTTTATGAATTGTGGCTGAGGCTGGGAGGACGCACTCCCCCGGGTTCGAGAGCCAACACTCTCCAGCTTGCCTGGGAAAATCCTCTAAACCAAGGCACAAACAAGAACAAAGAGGGAGAGAACCCAGACAAGAACCTGGACGGTGTCCCACCCAGGAAAATCCGGGCCTCAGTGGCAGGAGTGCTACCTCCGACGCCCAGAAGACAAAGCAGAGCCGCAGCCCTGGACAACATACCCTGTAACCCAGGCTCCCGGTGGTCGGCTAGGAATCCGCCTTCCGTCCCAGACATGGACAGACTCCGGACCTCTTCGGGCAGCAACTCCCAGCGGCCAGTCTGGAGCCAACTCTGTTCCCGCAGCAGAGGGCACTTAACCAGCGCCACCAGATGCCACCGGGGCCCACCGGCAGGGCACCAACCATGTGCCCGTCTCCTTCTAAGAGGGGCGGGGAGGACGGCGTCTTAGGGTACACCTCAGACAGGCACCTCCTAAATCAAGGAGAGCAAGTGGGGCCTTCATTCTCAGACCTCTCCCCACTCCACACGCCTCACCCCAAGGCTCCCTGCCCGTCTCAGCCCCGCTCTCACTAGTTTAGTTCAGGATCGTGGCCATACGGCCACAGGCAACCAGGTCGGTAGGGAACACGCGATATTTTCGCCTGCTGGATGGTCGGATTAATAATTGAAAAGCTCTCGCTCCTGTCCTTGCTTGGTCAACCTCGAGTGCCGGTAGAACACCTCCCTCACAGGCATTACGGCGGACGGGAGCGGCCCCAGGAGGCGGGAGGCGAGGAGGGTATCGAAGCCGCTAGGAGACGCAGCCCAGGCCCGCCGGCGCCCGGGACCAGAGAGGCTGCGCATTTATTTTTATTCCAGGCTTTCCACTGTGTGGTTATGTCACTTTCTCAAACAAATGTGTATATGGAGAGAGATCGATGCTGATAATGTTTAGAAGATTAAAAGAGCATTAATGCTGGCAACAATAACGTAAACGTGTGGACCCAGATTTCATTGATCTGGAACCTGATCCGGCGCGTTTCCAGTAAGCCCGGCCGTTCCCAGCAGAGCGCCCGCCCGCCCGGGCTCCCGGCGCTCCCCGCCGCGCTGCTTCCCCAGCTCCTGGCGGGTTCTCGGGTCCTCCCGCAGCTCCTCCCCGGAGCGGCCCCAGATACCCGAGGCTTTCTCTGGCCCCAGGACTGCCCGTCTGCTTCGCCAGCTCCCCAGCGCGCACACACACCGCTTCCTGCGTTTTCTGTGCTCTCGCTCCGGACGCTGGCTCTGCAGGTGGCTGGGTGTGGGCTTTGCACCATGCCTCCCAGCTTCCTTGTCCTGGAGGAGTCCTTTCCCCTTCCTCCTGGCCTCTACGTCTGCTCCAGCAGGGCACTGGGCTACTTCCTTCCTCCACTGAAACCATCTAGGAAATTCAGGTACCCCCTCCATATTCGGGAATAACCAGACCCTACGTTGGAAATGTCTCTAAAGCTGCTGCCTCTGCCATCCTTTCCAAATGAAATCTCGCACTTGGAGGCCATTTCTCTGAAGCTTAGTTTCTCTAACCCCGCCGCTTCCGGATCCGTGGGTCCCCTCTCATCCTTGACTGCTGTTCTCATTAAAAGAGAGACCTCATTCGCATTAAATGTCCCCATTCGCAGGCTTTGCACACAGACGCGTTAGTTGGACAATTAAATGCAGCCTGATGACAAAGGCCTGGGCTTCATCCCTCAGAAATGTCTGCTCCGCAGCAGGCTAATTAGACCAACCTGGGAAGAGTCTTGTTTCCCACCCAGGCTAGGGCGGGAAGGTAAGAAAACCGGATTGGAAGACCTCCCCGCCACACCCTCCTCTTCCTCCAGCAGGGGAGAACTGGGGCTCTCCTCTAGCCAGGCAGGGAGGTTTGCCCTGGGTAACCGGGCCGACCAGAAAAGAAAGAACATCTGAGCTCTGCCTTCCTTCCCACACCCTGCCACGGCTCCCCTGCCAAACGCTAGGTTATTCTCCCAGCAGGAACAGTAAAGGTGAATTTGACTAGAATGAAGGAAAGAGATGAGATATGGTGAGGGTGAGATGAGAGCTTAATAGTCCTGGCTTTTTGAAATTATAGCTCCAATTGGTGAAAGCTAAGCTTTTCCTCTCAGAGAAGGTCTCAATCCAGAAGGAAAGGGATTTTCTTTCCTTCTCCAAGAATGGAATGAGAAAAAGGAGGAAGGAAAGGAGTGTGGGGGAGAATTGTTCTGTTTGGAGTTGTGACCAAGGATCAATGGATTTTTCTTCTGTCCTCCCCTGATGGGGGTCATCTTCCCACCAATAGCTGTTTGAGAAGGGAGCTTCGTTTGATATAGCTTCTAGATTCCCAGTCAGTATGTGCCCTTACCCCGCTCCTGAAAACTACAGTGAACTAGGTCAGGTGATCAGTGGTCAGATACAGAAACTGAAGGTAGGTGCTTTCCTTCGGTTAGGAAGACAATTGCCCCTCCCTACAAACCCCACAATAAGGACCCCTATAGTCTCCTTCTCTGAGGGTTGAATGGCATTTTGGAGAGTGGGGTCTTAGACACTCCCCCACCCCTATCTTAGAATCCCAAAACAGGGTGAGGATCCTGGTGAGTGGTGAGGGTGGGACAGAGGGGAAACTGATTCTTCCAGATTCTCTGTGTCTCCAAGAGGAGACTGCCCCACTCACCTCTTGAGCCAGGTCTGCACAGAGGCAACAGGGACCTGCCCCTCATGGCTTACCTTCCCCACCTCCGGCCTGAACCTTAAGAGATCGAGAATGAGAACCAGCTTCTCCTGCTGTTTCAACCCCAAACTTCATTTTAGGGTCACCTGTTGGTTTTCTAGCCATTAGAACCTTTCCTAAAGTAAGATTAGAGGAAGAGGTTTGAGGAATTCTCAGGAAGAAAGTACGGGGCCCTGCATGCTATGGCTGATGATGGTGTTGGCAGACACTGTGTTCATGAAAAATGGTATCATGTAGAGCAGTGGTTCTCAACCTTTCTAATGCCGCGACCCTTTGATACAGTTCCTCATGTTGTGGTGACCTCCAACCATAAAATTATTTTCGTTGCTCCTTCATAACTGTAATTTTGCTACTGTTATGAATCGTAATGTAAATATGTGTGTTTTCCGATTGTCTTAAATGACCCTGCTAGCGGTTCTCAACCTGTAGGTCAAGACCCACAGGTTGAGAATCAGTGCTGTAGAGCCTAAGACCATCGGAAAACACAGATATTTACATTATGATTCAGTAACAGTAGCAAAATTACAGTTATGAAGTAGCAACAAAAATAATTTTATGGTTGGGGGTCACCACAACATGAGGAACTGTATCAAAGGGCCACGGCATTAGAAAGGTTGAGAATCACTGATGTAGAGAGACTCCCTGGAGGAATGAAATTCTCAGAGGAGAAGCAGAAAGATTAGTTTCTGGGTTCCTGCCAAAGGAAGGGAAATGAGGAGGGAATTAAATAGAAATAATTGCCTGGATAAAGGGCCCTGGGGAAAAGAGTGAATATTGAGGCACCCTGGGCATTCAGCTTCATCAAAGACCCTCTGGATTATGTTCACCCCTGACCACTCACAGACCCTTGTTTTTCCTGACCTGGGGAAAGTCACTTCATCCAGGGGGATGCTTTTCTGGTGGGGAGAGACCATGATGAGGAAGCCCAATGGGGCCATTTATGCTGTCAGAGGCAGAGCCTGCTGAAGATGGGCTGGGGAGGGGGGCATCATCACCCCTCATCACCCAATCTGCCCCCCTAATCCACTTCAGTGACTTTGGGAAAGGTTTTTTTTATTTCCATGTCTCAAGATAAAGACTGAGGGGGGGGTGGGGGGAAGAAAGAAGAAAAAAACAAAAAACACCTTGCACAGGTTTTTGACTGGACAGGAAGGGAGGAGGTAGGGAAGATGATTGAGTAACTCAGCCCACCTGATGCCTGAAAAGGTGTAGATAGGCAATGCAGAGAGGCAGGCTGCAGGGCATGCAGATAGAGTCTCACTTGAGGGGTGGGGTTCCTAGAAGCTGTGGACATTTGTTGTGAAAAACTGCCCATGCAAATTTTCCCAGAGGGAAGGGAGACTATGCCTTCCACCTTGACGCCTCTCTTGCCATTTGAAGATCCATTACTCTTCTGTAGAGAGCAGACTTTGTTTGGGTTGGAAGCACACCTCCAATGTAATTTAATCAGCATTGGACTTTGGCTCATGTAATCAAATATACATATACTTTCTCCTGCAGGAAGAAAAATAATTTCTCTGTAACTGCTATTGACTTGAAGTCATGTAATCTCTGGGAAGCATCACATTTTTAAAGGGAAAGGGAAAATTAAGGGGAAAAGAATCCGGTTTTAGTGGTTTGCCTTGTCATTGCTAAGAGAGCCAGTTACCACCTAAGAAAGGGCAGAGAGAGCTTTCTGGAACTCACATACTTGTGCTGCTCCAATTGTAGATATTTCACTTCAGATTCCTGTGTTGTCAGCCTTTCACATTTATTTTTGCAGGAAACAAGGTTGACTAGCTCACCAGACCCCAGGAATTTAGGCTGTATATTTGCACTGGGTGAACATGCTTGGAAAAACGGGTGTCTTCCATTTTTTCTATCCTGTTTGGAGAAGCCACAGGCAGCAGCAGCCGGATCCCAGTGGACAGCAAGCCCCTTCATTAAGGATGATTGGTAGCCATGCCAGCTCACTCCCCACTGTATCCCCAGGGCCTTAAGCATGGAGCTCTGCCCTAGAGCATCCCTCTAGATCAGGCTTGGACTCCCCACCCCCAGGGAGAGGCTCTGGGCTTTACCCAAGTTGAGTCTGTTAGGGAATCTGTTGTAAACACAGATCCATTGATTTGCATTTGTCAGGGAGTAAAGTTAAACCAGTGAAAAGAGAAGCCCTTACCCTTTTATGTAGGGCCAGGGAAACCTTTCATATTGATCCTATTGATCCAACCTTTCCCTTTAAGGAAACCACATAGTTAAAGACCCTCGTTCGATAGATTTACCCTTCGCACTTGTGATATTCCTTTAAGTGTTCTCATCTAGGATAGCTGGGCATTAAGCCCACACTCCAAACCAGACAAAAATGAAAAGAGAGTAGGAGGGGAGGGGTCAGGAGGCAGAATTGTGGGAAGTGAAATTGAATCAAACTGAAATGTGTAATGATTTGATTGGGGGTGCTTTTCTCATTCTTCTAAGATGACATGCAGAGATAAAGACAAAATGGATATGTTTAGCATCTCTCTCTCTCTCTCTTTTTTTTTCCCCAACCAAAGAAAACCTGTTTACATGCTAGAGTAGCAACATCTGTGGAACATCATTTTCCACTGTAAAATTATTTCAATCAATCCACTAGCTTGGTTCATTTAAGCTGGTTCACTTCAAAGCAGTAATACTTCCACAAAAATTATTTTGGTTCATTTGTAGCAAATCAGAAATAGAATTGTTCTAAGAAAATGCAGTATTTTCTGTGGGCTCTGTATATGAGCATGGACACTGAGAGGGGGCTTGAAGTTGTGTGTTCTGATGGAAGTGAGTAGAGGCTAGGCCAATAGCAAGGTACAACTTTCCCTACAGTGCAGTGTA